ATATATATATATATATAAAGCTATTGGATTGTGTTAATTTGTTTTTGAATGAGGGACATGTCCAGAAACAACTGTGTAATTTGGACAGGTGACGCTAGAAGAGGAGGAAAATACACAGTGAGTCTTAAGAGATACAGTCCTGAGCTAGAGGCCACTTTAAAAGTGTATATTATACTCTTGATTTAAAAAATGATGACACAGACTCAGGGACAATAACTGCACAATTAAGCAGCACAATCAGAAGTGGAATGTCTCTAAGCCTATAGATAAGCACAGAGGGATGCTCTGCAGGTCAGTAGTTGATGGCAGTAGGAGGTAGAATTACCAGATAGCTGCTCTTCACAACAGGGGAGGTTTTGGAAGTGGCAATAGGGAGCTGGGGGAATTAAAATACTGCTTCCTAGTCTCATGACATATGGACCACAGAAGATGGAAGAACTTTCCCTGGAGAGTGATGGTCCCTGGAGAGAGCTGGGCTTCAGTTAAGAAAATGAGCGGGCAAGTTCAGCAGAGAGACTGAGAATATAGAGAAAGGTGTTGCTAAGGACATGACATGTCAGAAGGCATATTAAGAGGAAGAGCAGCAAAGAGGAGCACAGAGCAGTCTCTATATGAGAACGTGTAAGAGGTTGATGAACCAACAGTATAGATGATATTCATACACAAGGACACTCAAGAAAAACTGTGGCTATGGCTCTTTTTCACTGCCATGTACAAGATAACTGTGTATTTAAGTAAGCTAACCAAGGAGAGGGACAGCACATTTCTGGAAACATCTTGATGTTAAAACACTCTAGAAAGTGTTCAAATATCTAACAGTCACATTTACAGTTGTCATGGAAACATCTTTTTCCTTTCTCCTACCTCAGAAGAATACTTGATTTATGTCAATAGGATATATTCTTGGATCACTTAAAAAAGTTATTACCATTGTTCACTTTTATTTTTCTTTTAACCCAATTTAAAATAAATCAGTTAAAACCCTTTAGTTACCAAATTTTTATTTTTAAATATTTTTGATGGCATGTGTTTTCAGTATTGGAATGCTTACTAACTAAGTGTGTTTAAATTTTTGGTTGGTAATGTGGATTTTGAGAAATGTGATCCGGTAATACAATCCATCAACGAGGCTATGGCACTTTGGTGCCACTGATCTGTGGTATGACAATATACAGATAAGAACTAAATAGAGAACTTCTTGCAGGCGCCTTCCCATTAGGTTACATGGGGAACCTCCAGTTTTCCAAATATGACACAGAAAAATCAAAATAAACCCATCAGGGCTCCCTAACTATCACACGGGAAAGCCATACTTATGCTTTCAAGCCTTACCTCATAGAAGTAAGGGAAAATAAGGCAAAAGTTTACAAAAATTTACGAAACTAATACATCCAGGAAGTATCACCTAACAGACTGCTCAGCCTACAGTGAGGCTCCAACTCCACTCTGCTGAGCTTCACACATTTCAAAAGGGACCCATCTTGATGCTAAATGCATTAGAACCAAAATAATACTACCTATGAGGTCCAGAGGCATTAAAAAGTGGCTGGTGTACCGTTATATCAACGGTTAACGAAAGAGTTTAAGAGTATCGGTGAAGCTAAAACACTCATGTAAGAAAACCTATGGAATTCTTGAGAGTTAGGACCACTGACTAACACATTACTCTCTCTCTTGTTAAATCACATTTGGAAGTTTGAAATACCTTGTGTTATCTCCAAATAAACTCATAAGCCAAATGTTCATTATTCACTTGGTTGGCTGGTCAGTGGCTCATACATTAATGAGTGACTACAATGTCTAAACTATTATGAGAACAAAGTGATGGGTAAGACAGGCTGAAGTTTTGAGCACTATAAAAACATAATACATAAATTAATAAATAACAATTTAAAAGTTATTTATAACAGGTAAATATTTTGACATGAGAATCTTTCTTCCTTTTCTACTTTCCCTGAATGAATAATTGAAGATAAAAATAACTAATATTAATAATAGTAAAGGTGGATAAAACGAAAGAGCCCTAGAAGAATATGTTAGAAATGCTATTCAACAAAATATGTGAATGACAGTCTTTTTTTTGGAATCTAAAAATTTGGGGAGGGGGGAGTATTCCCAAGTTAATTTAAAATGTCACTACTTCTGTGTCATGTTATCATGACAGAAGAAAATAAAAAGTTCTTCTAGTCTGCACTACTTAATAATACCTGAGGTGATGCACATAAACTCTGAAGACAAACCTCCATTGTTAACACATAGCAAGCCTTGCTTAGGTGGCATGCTTTCATTTTTAGTTTTTCCTAGGGCTGCCCTTGAACTTCATTTTAATGTATTTTCATCTACATACACATGTTGTTAGTGAGATAAGCAGGGACATACAATACACTCGCGATGTAACTGCTTCCACAGCCCCTCAAGACGCCTCATCCACGCTTTCAAAACTGGAGTCAAAGTCAAAATGAAGACAGCACAACACTCGAGCTTCCGGTTAATTTCTATTAAAACTTTGTTTTTTGTATTTTTTTTTTGGCTGGACTTCTCTTAGCCTGTATTGAGATGATTAGAGGAATCTGGATCTTACTAATACGAAAGGCAATGCTACTGATCTAAAAAAACAGTTGCTGTCAAGTCGACTCTGACTCATGGCGACCCCATGTGTGCCAGAGTAGAACTGTGCTCCCTAGGATTTTCTTTTTTTAACCCCCTAGCGTTTTCAATGGCTGATTTTTCTGAAGTAGATACCTATGCCTGTCGTCCAAGGAACCTCTGGATGGACTCGAACCGTTAACCTTTTGGTGAACAGCCAAGTGTGTTAACTGTTTGCACCACCCGGGGAATCCTTTACCAGAGACTTACTAACAAATACCTTATTTTCCTACAGTGAAAAAAAAAATTGGTTTACATGACATGTTATTACACACATTTTAAAAACACTTATACTTGACTGATAATATACATTTAAAAACAAACAAGCCAAGAGCCAAAAGTGACTTTAGATTGGTATCTTCAAAAAAGTCCAGCTGTTTCTGTGAAAAGAAACCCATACTAAAACACAAGAAAACAAACATGCCAAAGCCAAAATAAATAACAAAACAAAAAACTGCCAGAGTTGCCTTTGGGTGTCCCAGGTAATTACTTGAGGGTTGACATAGTACATTGTTTAATTTCCTGACTAAAACAGGGTAAACTACAGCTTCTGCTGTGGCCAGGCTGAAACCAGAGAATGGGCCTTTATCTACATAACTGTTTGCTGTACTTCAAGATTCTGTCCTACTCAACCGTAGAATCCCCTTTTGAGATATGCTGATCTGTAAAAAGACACTTGGGCGCTTTTTAATTCTATCTGATTCACAGAGAAAGCTTAGAAGGTCACAAGTTTGCAGAATTTGCATTTTGGTTATAACAAAATTAATGTCCTGGGGTAATGAAGGCTTCAACATTATGTAGAAAATACACTTCCTTTCCTGAAAACTACCAACCCATCTGCCCTTCTACCCAAGCCAGGCCAAGACAGGAGGTTATTTGGAAAGTTTTAAATCAGACCATCTTTCTTGCTGCTATCTAAGTCACTCCAAGATAAGTTCCATTTCTAGAATGATCTTGTAAACCAACTCACTGTTAATAGAAAAAAACAAACAAGCAAAAAACCAAAACAACAACAAAAAACTACAACCATACAAACTACTTGAAAATATTTATCAGTCATTCTGATTTTTTTATATTGTGTTAAGATGCACACGCAATTTAGGAAAATTCTTTTCGTTATAATAAAATACAAGTTCAATATCTAGATTCAATTCTGGGGTGTAATTTATTTTTGTCCAATTTTCGATCCCAGGAATAACTCAGAATCTTAAAAAGTAGAGCCCTAAATCACAAATCTTTATAAGATGGCCCATTAATTACATTACATAATTTTTTCCCATCATTATTTTAAATGGGTACTTCATCAAACGTCCGGTGAGTTAAGATGATTTAGAATGGAAATATGAGTCAGAAGAATGTTACTCCTAAATACTGAATATAACAATCAAACATTGAGGTTAGATATTTAACATCGTACAGGCAGTCCCCGGGTTACGAATGTCCAACTTACAGACAAGCGGCAACTGTACTTGCCCTTTAACGTCATGTAAATTTGCCCTCACTTTGAAATGACTGAACCAACCCCTACTCACAACAAATTCTTTGTCACAAGCACCTTTACTCGCTGCACGTGCAGCTTTTAAAACCTTGAAAAGGCTTCGAGCCTTTTCTTGCACTAAAGCAAAGCTAAATAAGAACCATATGCACTTGTTCTAACTTCCCTACAAATTCAACTTAAAGACACAGTTAGGAACGGATCTCGTTCATTATCCAGGGACTGCCTGTATTTATGCATATTTTCTTTAATCTTCTAAAATGGCAAGTCTGGCAATAGATGTCCATTTTACTGCAGTCATCCCAATTGCAATTTCAGAAAGTGCAGATGGAACTTACTAAAATACTCCTTTTTAATTTTTCCCATTTTTGTGTTCTCCTATGCCGCATTCCTTGCCATAAGAACATATATATGTATTTACATTTGACAATAATGCATGTCGTACCTGAAAGATTAATTATCCAAAACAAAGTTAAATACCAATACCAACCAAAAAATGTCCTTCTATTTGTGGCATTACATTTGCAGAAAAGTTAGGACAGAGCCCTGGTTGACAGAGTTAAGTTCCTTGGTCAGAAAAGGTGTTTTGATTGTTTTTTTTTTTTTCAATTAACTACAGTTATTTATATTAACTACAGATTAGCTTTCATTTTTTTCAATATGAAAAATTGGAAATCACAGACAAACCAAATTCACAAATATTTTCTTTAATATTTAGTATTTTCTAAGTAGCCATAGCATTTTTATATAGAAAAGTGACACCGGGTCTTTTGAAGAAAACTGGGATTTTGAAATGCAAATGGGGGAAAAAGGATGAGGGGAGTATCAATTAGAATCTGGTATGCTATGTACTACTTACCTTCAAAAGTCAAATAAAACTTTCCTCTGTCAAACCAAACGAGGGAAGGCTGTTCATTCTCTGTATGGCCAGGAGTTGAAGCGGGATGGGAAAGGTTAAGGAGAGGGAGAGAGAAGGACACAGTATGAGTTAACAGAGCAGGTCATTAATCTCACTATGGGGTCGGGTGGAGGCAAGGCATGCCATTAACGTGCAGGGGGAGGGAAAAAAAACAAGGAAGCCTGGCAATCTATGTTTTGCTTTAGTTCAGGAATCAGAAAGCAAAAGCAAAGCTATGGAGGCCTAAAGGGATGGGCACGTGTTGCCGGCAGCTGGATACTTGGTGCTTGTGTGCATCAGCAGAAGTCTTCCTGGCCATGCAGGGGCATCAGCATATTTTAACTGCACTAGTTTGGGCAAACTGTCATTCAGCAATTGCTGTATCCACTTCATCGTCAATGTCATCCCCTTCTATGTTTTCACAAAAAGATAAACTTGAAGTTATAGGTTGTATAAAACATTAGTTGCGGTTTTAAATGACAACAACATTGCGTATTGATTTAAAGTTCCTGAAAGATGTCATACATCTTCCAACCCCTCCCCTGGAATCACCTTAAGCATCCAGACACAACACATCCTTTACCTACATACCAAAGAGAAAACAAAGTTACTAACGCTGCTCTATTTTTTTTTTTTTTTAATTAAAAAGCAGTCACTGGACATGTAATTCTGAGCAGTTAAATTATTCCTTCCTTTGAAAATTCATAAAGCAATAGCACCTCACCTTTTTTTTGAACCCTTTCACTGAGAAACTGTCATGCAACCTGCTGCTTTGTAATACGTTCACTTAAAAATGTCTCAGTGGAATGAGTTCCACAATGGACAGAGAATATACAATGTTCATCCGAGAAGCACTGGACACTCGTGAGTGAGGAGCATGTCCGTGAAGTTTATAGCATTCAGATGGAGTAATGGCTTGGATTTTTAAAGTCTAAGTATCTAGAGATCACTTGGCTAGCACCATACCTGCAGGCGTTTCACAGCGCCTTTCAAACGAGGGCAGTTTGTCATAAAAAACATCATCTTCTGACACTACGAACCAAAGAATCATAAAGGAATGGAAAACAAAAACAGAAAGACAAATCCCAAATGAAATCAAACAGCACACTTTACTGATCGAAACACAAGTAATGATTTTAATGGAAAAAAGAAACAAAACTAAGTCACTGGGGTTATGATTATTTTATGATGATTCTATGAGAAGAAATTAAAATAAAATTTAAAAAAAAGGCCAAGTTTGCGCATCTGTGAATTTGGCTGAAGTCAGCCCCATGGTGGAAGTCACGCTCCATCTTCTCAGGGAGTTGTTAGAGGCATTATCATTAATAATTGACTTGTGTGAGTGTATTTCACTCCCACGCAACTCTCAAGTGGCCAGACATATGTCCATCAAGAATATCCTCCTGACAGAGCACTGACAGCTCAACAGGATCACTCAGCATGCACCTTTCCCCGAAGGGAAAGAAGAAGCTTTTAACATGACCATAAAAAGCCACAGAATAAATCTGAGGTTCCTGCATGAACCATCGCATTTCAGCCTCCTCAGTATCCAAATTCAATTTGCCTTGCACCTGCCTTTGGTAGTTATGGACTGTTAATTTTGAACAGCATTATTATACTTCCCTCTTTGGCTATGGACTCCAGCTGTGGCCAAATGTCTTTGTAAATTGGTCACAACATCCTGAATTGATGCTCGGGACCTCAACTGTTACAGATCTCTGCACACAGTCTCCCTCCTCACTAACACACACGAGCAAGTGGGATTTTTCCACTATGTGATTTACAAAAAAGTACTCAATGCCACAGGTCCTACGGGAATTATTACAATTTTAATAGAAAATAGAATAAAATCTGGATACAGACCAGTAAGGGAGAATCCCACCTACAATACAGAGATGTAAGATAAGGAAATGAACGAGGATAGTAAATGATTCCATGAGGAGTAATATTCCTTGGAAAACATTCTATTAGTTTGCCTCCTAGACTTAGAGAGTAAGGCAGAGAAGCTACTTCTTTGTCAATTCTTAAGGCCCTAGGACATCACTTGTCCATTATAATTTTTATTACACTTGTGGCTTTCTTGGTAGCTAGAACAAGTTACTGTAACTTCTATATATCTACAGGAGAGGAATAGGACAAACAGAACTGGCAGTAAAGGACACTCAACAATGTTTCTAGAAAACAGGAAGCGAAAGAATTACATTGGCACTAACTGGATGTGTAGGTCTTTTCAGACTCACTAGTGGGAAATGGCAGAAGGTGTTCCTTAATGTTGAAGGACTGATTTCCTATATACAATCTCCTTAAAATGAGAAGCCTCCAACACTGCCATCTGTCTTCGAGCTGAAGTTACAATTGAATAAGTTCATAAGGATTAAGCAGTATGCTTATGATTTTCTTTATGGGGGTTATAGACTTTGAGGGCTTAGGAAAAAACATCCTAAATAAATGAGAGAACTTAATAAAAATAAATCACTGGATAGCTCTGTGCTTTGTTTAAAGAAGGGCAACACCTAAATTAAGTGCAGAGGGGACAGTTTCCTTAAGGACGGACCATGGAAATTGCCTCAAGTCAATCTGGGATGAGGAACCTACTACTGGAAACACACCTTTCCAAAATAATAATAATAACAATAATAACAACATAGGGAAAAAAAGACTAAAATCAAAGGTGAGAATTTTTATTGGGATTATAAACATTCACTTCCAAAAATCTGTCTTTATTTTTGTATAGAATAATTGGCAGTTAAGACAGGCTTTCTTTTTTTTTTTAAAAAGCATGTTCAATTCAGAAAGCTTGGAGAGATAAAGACTTAGAGGAAATATTTTAAGTTTTAGATGCTGTGGTTAATATTTCACTACTGAATTGAATTTACTTCTGCTCAAAGTCCATATGATGCTTCCTTTGGTGCACACAAATGATCACCTTTCAGTCATTACAGATTACTGGGATGTTAAAGATACAATTTAAAATGCATAATTAACAGTGAAAGAACATACTTAACAGTGGATAAAAATTGCCTTTACAGTGGTTTTTTTGTGGTGGGGCCCTAAAGGGAGATATTGAAACATATTAAAAAACCTGCCATCAAATATAAAAATAAACAAGCAATAAACATGGATATTTACAAGCAGAGATAATGCCCTGTTTTGAATAGGGAGTTACATGCCTAAGAGTTTGATTCTTATAGTAGAATAATTTTTAACATTTTCTCTATCTCCAAAATATTAGTAGGAATGTTTTCCCAAAGCCAAAGAGTGCAGGTCCTGTGAGCTTTTTAGAGTGTAAAAAGAGTTTACTGTATTTCACTGATTATAAGATGTGCATTTTTTTCATATTTTAACATCTCTGAAATTGGGGTGGATTTTATAACCAATGTCATAAGACTGCATTACATCTCTGCTTAATTGACATCTTTCCCTCCTCTTTCTTAGCGATATATAAAATAACGATGTAGCTTATATTGAAGGGTATCTTTAATTCAATGAAATAGAGTCACATAGGAGCTGTTTATTATTTCAGTGTGACTATATACAAAAAGGCTTATTTTCAGCTGTGGCATTGGACTGACTACTTCATAATCATAGCTTTCATGAAAGATGTTATGCCCAAAGTCCTTTAGAGATATTTTCGTATATGACTTGTGTAAGAAGACAGATTAGACTTGCTTGTAAAAATTTAGTCCCTGAATTACTTTAAACTTTGCTTATTTTGTGCCAACCACACTTGCCCCAAATTTGGCTCAAGTGTCATGGGGAATGTCAAAAAAATATTGTGGTGGTAGCAGGAAATTGTTGAGCCATCAACTTCAGGGAATTTGCTGCTGAAATTCTCTATGTCAAGGCAAGCCGTTGACTACATTAAACTGACAGTCCACGTCAGCCATGAAGACACTCCTTGGTGCTAAACAGCCAAAGCACATCCTCTCCAGAAAGAGAGAAACAGCAGTACACAAGAAGCTGCTGGCAGCCGGTCATTTGACAATGTATTTACTTCAGAGAGGAGTGGCTGTCAGATGAGCCACGGTAGCAGGAGGAAATAAAGAACAGGAGGTGAGAGATGCAGTGGGAAGATGAAAACCAAATAAAAATAAAAGAACTAAACAGATTAATCAGAATGCTCCTCAGCAATGAAGCAATGTGACTACCCTCTCATATGGCTATTTTCTTTTTAACCCCTCTTTGGTTCATCTTGAAAATACACATGTGAGGTGTGTTATAGATCAAAGTAGCTGGCTAAGATTTGAGATTTCTGCAGCAGAGAGCGTAGAAACACATAGTTCAAGTTCTCTGCAGGTGCAATTTTCTCTGTGCATCTGAGTAAGTTGAAAGAACATGTTAGACATTTCATCCGAGGTCACTTGGGGATGGCTTTGTGAGTGACGGTTCACCCTTCTTCCTTTTCTCTCTGACCAATAAGGCGAATCACATGGAATGGGTAGAACACATGATCTTGGGATTAAAAAAAAAAAAAGGAAAAGGAGTGGAGAAAGTGACTGTAGCAATCAAGGAGTACTAAAGAGGTAGAGTTCAAAAATAAGGCTGGGATGTCACAGGAAAAAAAAAAAAAAGAGAGAGAGCACGAGAAATGGCTAATAGACATCTAAAAAATAGGAAACCCCAAATTCCCCATTAATGAAGCAGAGAAGAAATAGACTTGGCTGTATAAGTAATGGTAAATATATGTCTAGTAATGAATCATATGAAACTGGTAATGGGCTATATTTTCTCCATATTTGATGGGGATGCTTGGGATAGTATGATTAAAAATACAGAGCATGTGATATAGTAGACACTCTCTTTAGGGGCTCTAAAGGGCACACCTTAAAGACAGGCGGTTTTTCTCCAGAAGAGCTTCAGGCTTTGATCAAGCTACTTCTCACATAAGCAACTCTACACTATGCTCTTCAGAAGCCTGGGAGGGGAGTTCCAAACAATAGAGGAAGAGAATAGGGAATGGGGTTACATGGGAAAGATGGAATGGGAAAGCCCCATGTTAGACAAGAGAGACACCATGCAAAAATAAGAGAGGAAGAAGCCTACGGAAGGTGGGTGAAATGGTGTAGAGACCAGCCTTGGGAAGAGGGAAGCCACTCCAGGCAAAAGGAGGCATTTAGACCTGGGAAAACCATCCAGCTGAGCAGTCATTCTCAACTCTTCACTTTCATCACACCATAATGAAAAGAGGCATAAAGGCATTTACTGAAAATGCCAGCAATGAATTTTTTTCTCTGGGAAAATTTATCAGACATCACTGAAAAGCACTAAAAAACAAACAAAAAAAGATTCAAAGAGTTTGCTTAAGTCCCACAATGCCAATATTTATACCATTTGTCAATATAAGGACAGCCAAAAATGATGAAGAAATGAAAGAGTCAAGAAATGAAAGTTCTAAATTTTATGATTTCTGATGTATTACACAGTTTGAATTTTAAATAAACATCCCCCCTCAAAGGAGACTACTTTTATTACAAGAAACAATATCTAAATTACAGGACCTTATTTGGCGGTTTCTTCTTTACTTTTATGGAGAGCTCTCTATATGTAATACCATAAGAAAAAACCTGCAAAACACAGGTGTTAATGTTCTTTCATTTATTTATCTACTTGACATTCATTTATTTATTTACTTTGCCTCCTTTGCTGAGAAGGTGCTTTTAAAAGAAGAGTCAGATGATAGTAGCAAAACTCACAGCAAAACAATTTTGACCAGAAACATAGGGCCTTGGGGATGTCAGATCATATAAAATAGCCAGTCAAAACCACAAACGGATTAAAAGAGAGGAGATAATTTTTACCAACTGTGGGAGTGGTAGCTGCACTCAAGGAATTGGTGGACGATATTGAAGAAGTGCTTTCAGCCCGGGCTAGGGGTGCTATCGGAGGAGGGCTAGAAGAGTGTATGGGAGGGCTAAAAGGTCTGGACTGCGGGGAGAAGAAAAGAGATGAAAAGTTAGATATGCAAGTCGTAGTACTTTCATACTGTTAATGTCTCCCAGCCCCAGATATGACAACTCTGGCTCTTTAAGGAGTACAAGTGAAACCATTTTAACACTGGAATTGATTCAATATACCTACACAGGGTCTCATGGAATGCAACTAGAGGCACCCTAAACCATAAACATGCTAAACTCAATAGGTACGCCCAGGTTTTGAGAAGCTGGGATCTGTGGTGTGGTCAGCAGTTCTGTTTCAGGCCTGTGAACTCACAAGCCCTCAGGGACTAAGCAGGTAACGTAGCGTGAGAGCTCGTAGTCATCTAAAGAGATTCAAATACAAAACACTGTACTGCGTTAGTCAAAACAAAAGTTATGGGCATCATCAGTTTGTAACTTCTGTGTGCAGATACCAAAGAAATCTGCCTCTACCACAAGTCTCTTGACAAAAGATCAAACAGAATGCTTTTCTCCCCCCCGCCCCCCGCAGCCTTAAAACACAAGGCAAGAAGCTTCTGGAACAAATTCACGGGGGCCACAATTCTCCTTTTTAAATTCACATAGTGTGCCTACCACCAATAACTTTTCTGTAGTTTGGAGTCAGAAATAAGGACTTGTCCTCCAAAATCAGATAAATATAATGAAAATAACCCCTTCCCTTTCTAAAGGATTTAGCATAATTGAACATTACTATCTTAATTTTCATCAAACCCCAATGCAGCAGAGCTGAGAGTTGAAATGTGCACCCATACTGCACCAACTCTCTTTCAGATGCGACCTCTAAGGGCCATTTGTACTAGTGCTATAATGCTTAGACCTGAAGCCCAGTTGCCCTGTGTCCAGGCGTTCTTGAGTTCGTCATTCTCACTATCTGTTTCTGAGCAAGGCAGGGCAGAGGGGAACATACCACATCTCCGACTCCAGGCTTTCCTGGAGGTAGTTTTGGCCGAGATGGAGGCCGGGGAGGAGGTGGAGGTGGGGTGGTACTGCTGCAAGGAGGCAAGGGAGTTGCTGGTCGAGCAGGGGAGGATGCACCTGAAAAATAAACTAGTATTAAAAACGTCTGGAAATACCTGTGGCCAAAGCGCTCTCATTGCTTGATCCCTCCTTCCCTGTTCCCATGGCAGCAATGTCAGTCCCGCTTCATGTCAGCAGTAACTATACCAAACACTATAGCACATGGTATTTTTTTTTTAAGAAAAAAAAAAAATTACTCAGTTCAACTATGGTTGACGACAGAAGCTGAAGCTCATTGCCTTTCCTTGTCATATAGCACCCAGTGAAAGGTAAATCCTTTTATTGCTCTATTTGTGACAGAGAATACATTAAGATTTTTATGACTGCATGGTAGAGACCTTTTATTTTGACCACGTACACACCAAACTTATGATCAATTTTCTTATTTGTTTGCATATATTCAGAGTTTCTTTATATCCAGGATGAATGAATAGAAGTTAGAACTTGAAGAAAGATGAATAATTTTTTCACTTTAGGTTGTTTTGTAACCATGAGTAAGAGATTACCCATTTTACTGTGCTTTAAAACATGCACTCGAACCTTATCAATTTGCCCAAACACCTGATAGCAAGCAAAAGAAAAGATATAATAAATCAGATGTTGCATGAGTAAACTTTGTGTCTAGAATCTTAATAAACACATTGAATTTAGAGGGTTTTTTGAAGGCGGCTGCTTTGGAATCTGCCTACGTAGACTTTGCCCACAATGATTTTTGTGATGATTTTTGAAAGAGCCACTTGGATTTATCTTTCTGGCTGTCAATGACAAGCATATGAAACAAAGAAGACATACAGAGGCTGGCATGCACAGGACAGGACACCAGTGGAGTCTCTGTACACAGGGGTCTGATCTTCAATCATACATCTGGGACACATGGCAAAATCACCTGGTTAAACACCTTAAGAAAGTCAAATCAATATTCAAACTGGTCTTGTTCAGAAAGGTTCCAACTACCTCTAAAGTTTTGTCACTTTGGAGAGAAATATAGGCATAAAATCATTTCAAGAAAATTCTAAGAAATCCTGCCCCAGGAAAATCTCCCCTCCTCACCTGGAACGCCCAAAACACACACACACACACACACACACACACACACACACACGCTCACGCTCACACACACACACACACACACACACACACTCACGCTCACATACACACCTGCTCTCTGGAGACCAATTTTAGTCTCTATATTTTCATATTCTCAGAGATCTTTGAAGTTGAGCGTCAAAAACCATGATCTCAGAATTTACTTCTCAGGAGAGTCCATGGGGGTAAACCCTGCTCCTGTTGTTTAAAGAATCTGAAATCTTAGATGTGTTTTTCTGTGCTATTTATTCTAAATGTAATCACACTAGTGGGAAACCCTGTTAATTATTAACGTCACCCCCAGCCTACTTCCTCCACTGCCCCCTCCCTGTCTCTACACCCACCTCCTCTTCACCACCGCCACTTTCTTACTGTATTCTTAATTTTTATTTTATTGGGCCAGGATCTATGATAGGCACTTGCCATGCATTACCTATTTAACTCTCAATAAGTTTCTAACGTAGGTATTGTCATTATCTCAGCATTTGGAGGAAGAAACGAGAGCGCAGAGATATTCAGTAACTTGTCCAAGGTCACACAGCTCAAATGGTCTATTTAATTCCAAAGCCTAAGCTCTCAAATACAGCGTCTTGTTTCAGAAGGACTGTGGAGTCCTACATTTTGCATAAAGCCTGTTGCTATTTTTGCATGGTCTGCTTGCACATCTCTCTCAATATAAATACTCAGTCTTTGGCTAATCTCCTGAGGCGGTAAAAAATAAGATATATTTTGCTAGATTCCACTACAAAGTTTTTTCTTGACTATGTACATATTAGTAGATATATACCCAGTATGTTTTCAGAAGACAGAAGTGACAGCATAGAGATGAGAAGTAAATGTTTAAACAGCAAAGTCTTTGTCAGGAAGTTTCATGGAGCTTTTCTGGGGTTCTGTTTAGCTCTGGAAGATGCTCTATGGGGCAGTGGTTAAAGCAATCAGCTGCTAACTGAAAGGTCAGTGGCTCGAACCCACCAGCGGCTCTCCAGGAGAAAGATAGGGCAGTCTGCTTATGTAAAGATTACAGCCTTGGAAACCCTATGGGGCAGTTCTACTCTGTCCTATAGGATTGCTATGAGTCTGAATAAACTCGACAGCAGTGGATTTTGTTTGGTTTGTTTAACTTTGGGAGAATCATGCCTTAGTAATGGCCCAAAATGTCTATTGATGAGTTTACTTCCAAGCCAATATTCTTCTGAAACAATACCAGAAAAGGCCAGCTGCTTATCCTTTTCCTAACTGCTCCAGAAGAGAAAAAACAAAACACAAATCCCTTAGATTAATGCTTGGGAAAGTACTAAAGAGTTGTCATCAAAGCAGTGTGGAATATTGAAAAAAACACTGGATGAAGAGTCAGCTGATCTGAGTTCTGGCCCTGCCTGCCTCTGATTAACTATGGGATCTGAAGCAGGTCACTTAACCTCTTTGGGCTTCAGCTTCTCTGTTTTAAAAAATGAAATGTTTCTAAGGTAGTTGTAAGACTCAAAATTAAAAATGCTACGAAAGTGTTCACTAAACTATAAAATGCTACCCAAATGTAAAGCAATAGATGTTGATGATAATGGTAAACATCTTGTCTTTTGAAACAGATATGACCAAATGTAAAAAAAAAAAAAAAAGTGTTTAGTTAATTGTTTTCCATTTCCTTTATGGACACCCTGGTTAACTCATTTGTTTTCTTTACCGAATTGATTTAATCAATTTGTTGTGCAGTTAGGAAGTCACTAACAGGGTGTTTGAGAAGCAAGAGGACATGTCAGTGAAACACTGCATGACTGAACCCTGAGGTTCAGCAGAGGATGTTCAGGGCCTGAGGAGTATTTCGCAACAGAATGAAGACTTCAGATGCTTTTGTGAGATCACACGACTGTTTCCTGTTTTAAGAGTCTAGATGGCTATTATTTGTGCCTCTCTATCCTCACTATCCCATCTTCAGTTATACTTTCATTCTTCCCCTCAAGCAGGGTTTATTCCCAAGGACAACGCCGGAAAATAAGTTCAACAACATTACTGTTCAAAGTTTAACTTAAAAAAACAAAAAATCACATGTACATTAACTGAACTTTGTGATTTCAAAAATTTGGCACACTTCGACATGCTCTCAATCCATTCACTGCTCTCAGGTTGAGGCTCCATCATACTTACTTTGGTAACCCCTGAGAACCACATAACTTTGGCTTCAACTTTCACCTCTCATCTTCTACACGTATGTGGGAAGCAGGTAGAGGGGCAGGGGGCAGTTAAGGAGGCTAGGAAGAAGTGGTAAAGGCATAGGCTATGGAACGCAACAGATTTAGTGTCAGATTTTGGTTCTGCCATTTATTAGCTTTGTGATCATGGCCAAATTCCCTCTTTGAGCCTTAACTTCCTTATCTGCCAAACGAGGCTAATACACCACAAGGTTGTTAATAGAAGAGAGTGAATTAAGTAAAGAACTAAGCAGCCTTCCCAAACTGTGTTCTTTAGAACATAATTACACCATTTAAAAGTATCAAATGTGTGTGGGACGGGCTACATACTATGTCTCGTTTCAGAGAGTAGCATATGGAAAGTCCTAAAACAGTGCTGTCCAACAGAGCTTTCTGTGATGATGGAACTGTTCTAGAATTGTGCTGTCCCATCAGATAGCTGCTAGCCACATTTGGCCATTGAGCACTTGAATTGTGGCGAATGTGACTGAGGAAATGGATTTTTACTTTTAGTTAATTTTAATTCATTACAATGACAATTAAAACAGCCATGTGTGGTTAGTGGCTACCGTATTGGACAGGGCAGCTCTAAACAGACTTGTAGTTAGAAAATTGTTGCTGTTGTTGCTAGTTGCCATCGAGTCAATTCTGACTCATGGCGACCTCATGCGTGTCAGAGTAGAACTGCTCCATAGAGTTTTTAAGGCTTTAACCTTTTGGAAGCAGATTGCCAGGCCTGTCCTCCAAGTTGCCTCTGGGTGGGTTTATTTGGTTAATTCAACCCTGTATAGCTCAAACTTATTTGCTTATGAGTGAAAATGTGTGTGTATAACACCTATTTAATATTGTTTTAGTTTCTCAAATTGGAAAATGTTGCACTGAATATTCTATCTCTATTATCACATATCTTTCCCTGCCCCCCAAACTTGTTGCAAACCAATAAAGTTCTTCTCATCCCTGGTACACAACCCACATGGGAAAAGTGCAGCCTTTGCCAAGAATCAGAGTCTGCATTCCAGTAAAGCAACATTCTGGCCAAACAAGGTGTGTATAACATTTTGCCATAAGGAAATTAAAGTTCTTAAGAGCAAATTCTTAACTTCCGACTGTCTTTTAGCAGCAGCTAACTCTTCTCATTCACAAACCTGTAGGTACTGTCTACACTTGGTCAGTGACAGTCACCTTGCTGTGAATGAAAGTTGAAAAATAAGCACAATGCTATCCAGTTAAACATCACTTGAGGAGTAAAGGAAAAGTTAGTCCCATCAGGCTACATATTATAAAAAGTAGATAGTTAAAAGGCATTGCTAATTGTTATGGATTGAATTGTGTCCCCCCAAAATATGTGTTGTAAATCTTAACCTCTGTGCCTGTGGTTATGAATGCATTTGGGAATGGGTTGTCTTTGTTATGTTAATGAGACAGGGTCAGTATAGGGTATATCTTGAGCCAGTCTCTTTTGAGATATAAAAGAGATTAAACAAGCAAGTGAAAGAAGCAGGGAAGGGGAAGAGAGATGCCAAGTCACAGGAAGATCATCCAGGAGCAGAAGCTCAGAAAACTCAAGGACCTTCCTCTAGAGCCGACAGAGAAAGCCTTGCCCTAGAGCCAGCACCCTGAATTCAGACTTCTAGCCCCCTAAATCTGAGAAAATACATTTCTGTTTGTTAAAGTCATCATCTACTTGTGGTATTTCTGTTATAGCAGCACTAGATAACTAAGACACTAATCTTTAAAACATGAGGCCACAACATATTGTTTTAATCCTAAATTTACATTTTTGCCAGTCTGTGTATGTTTCATCAATAAAAGATTAAGCAGCAAATAAACTGAGACTTAATTAGGGAGATAATGGTGCAAAGTTTTATTTATTCATGGGCTTCACTGGTCTAGTTCAATATCCCACTTAGAAATTCAATCCTTTAATACCAGCAAAGGACAGCTTTTTCCAGCTCAATTATTAAGAATCAATAGTCTTCACTGGTAACATTTTAAGATAATTTCAAATAAGAATATGGTAGTTAAACATTAAAACAAGAAAGCCAAAGCTCCTCTCTTCACTCATTAGATCAGTGGTCAATTAAATTGTGGAAGGTGATGGAGGAAACAGAGGAATAATAAAGCCCATCTCCCACTGATGCTGTTTACTTTGAGAAGAGCATAATGACCCATCGCTGGAGGTAGATAAGCATTCCTGAAAAACCCTGGCCCAGCAAAGAAAGTCCCATAGGAAACACTGGAAGCACATCCCTCTCTTACAACCTGAAGACTAGCTTTCTTTTCTAAAGTAGGGTAGCCAGTTGGAGGTCTGAAGGCTTCACACAGGGGCCATTTACTACCTTTACAAATTAGAAAGGAGTCTTGTGTACCCAAAAAGACCTAAAAAAGCAATAGAGGAATGAACCTGGGTGCTCTAACCTTCTCAAATTATAGAAAGGAGCACACACAGAGGAGCACATTTGGAAAGAAGATTTTGGTGACCTTGTTGATAGCACTTGTGCAGTATAGATAGATGGGTGTCAGTGGTCAAATAAGCTTGAGATTTTTTGTAACTAAACCTTACAAGGGTCCCTGGAGAGCGTAGTGGTTAAGAACACGCCCTAGGGATCAGAAAGGCCTGAGTCTGAATCCCAGGTCTGTCACCTCTAGCTATGTAAACTTGAGAAAATTACTTGACATCTTTGTGCTTCAGTTTTCCTTGTAAAATGGTGGTGGTGGGGGGATAAGAGTTATCCACCACATGGTGTTGTGAAGATGAAATAATGTGCATAAATCACTTAGCATGGTGCCCCGGACAAGAAACTAAAGCAAAATAATGGTGACTGTCACTGACCATTATTGGCAAAATAATGGCCCTGAGAATTCCTGTGGTAAAGAAACATGCCGGTATCAACATAATGCTTCCCAAACATTTCACCATTGAATAGTTCTCTTCTTGTGGGGGTGGGGGGTGGACCGAGAGTACAGGAGCACATCTACTGATGTGAAATATTGGTTTTGTAGTACACAGGGCAGTACACAGAGCCAGCACTGAAAGAGGCTCTATTGAAAGAGGCAGCAATGATGACCGAATATAGAGGCAAATGCCTTTCCTTTCTGTCTCTTCCTAGATCTAAGTAACAAGCCTGGTTGCCTCTTCAAAGCAAATGACAAACAAATAGCAGATGCAACCGCATGGGAGGTGCCTAAACCGAATCCACATGCACAGGAGGGAAGAGACTGGAGGATCTAGCCAGACAAACCTGAGTAACAGTGGAAAAAATGAGACAGAAGAGGATGCACTAGAAAAAATCTTGCCACTTCTTTAGTATGCATGGCAGGTGTTCACATAGTTTCATAATTAGAAAATACAAAATGAAGGTTCACATAAGGAAAAGCAAAAAATCAAATTCAATGTCAAAATTTGCATATGGAGTCCCAAAAGGTGCATTTCTGATAAATCTTTTCCATCACCTGTCCCCATACTTAGAGTTGACATCATAGGCTGATACGCATGCCAAATGGTCAAACTGAGAACAGTGTGGTTTTTGGTAACAGCTTGATTAGGTTGGGGATAAAATAAGGCATCCTCCTTTTGCTTTCCCCTCAAATCTGCATTTCAAACCCTGCTTTTCTTTCAGAAGAAATTAGCATGGTCAACACCACCTCCCCACCACCCCCTCCACCCCCAAATGACCTACAAAGATCTAGGATCCTTGTGAAGGCATCTTGATAAGGAAATCAGACATTAAACATGAAACCCACCCATTGTGAAATTCAGCTTTCTAGAACTTTCTTGAGTTCCAAACAATGACATCACAGCTTGCTTTAAAAATATACACTTCCTAAGTAACTGCAGGATGGGAGGCAGGGCACTCCTAAGGGCTGGGAGTAAGGGGCAGAAAACATCCACAGACTTAGACTATGACTATGAGCATTCGATGGACTAGGACATGCCACAGGGCCACAGGACACCCAAACCGAAGGAGGGATAGCTGAAGCTCTAAAGCCAACTGCCAGGCAGGAGAAGAGTATTGCTCACACTGCAGCAGCCATGGCCATTCTCTGTCACACAAAGCACACCAAACAGTAAGACCTACCACTGGCAGTCCCCGTACCACTGCCGGAGCCAGGTCCAGGGGATGAAACCACAGTCCTGTAGGTGGGTGGTGGTGGGGGAGGCGGAGTTGCTCTCTGTCCCAACCCAAAATCTTTAGGAGATGACATTGTTTCTAAGTAATCATCCTTAATGAAGGTCTGCTCAGCAACTTTCTTCTGGGCTTCTTCTAAATTGAGTGGCGATGGTATATTGCGAGGAGGACCCGGAGGACCGGGAGGACCAGCAGGGCCTGAAGGCCCTGGGAGGGCCGGGGGGCCAGGAGGGCCTGGAGCTGGGGACTCAGCTGGGTTGTCTGATGCCGCTGGTAGGGACATCACCTTTTCCCTTGGAGTCAACTCTGGAGTAACATGTTCCGGGGACGTATCGGAAAAATGGACCCACTTTTCTTCAGTATTAACAGTAACAGACTTGGGGGACAATACTGGCCCAAAAATGCTGTCCAAATCATTGATTGAAGGTAGTTTTTCAATTTTGACCTCTGTGGCTGACTGGTCACTTCCTGTGGTTAAAGTAGTTGATTTTAAACTTTAATTGACTTGGTTAATGTTATTTGTACGAGGGGGAGGAGGCATGATAGCTACAAACATGAGGTAAAGCCTGGCAAATACATGCCTCAGTGGGTATATTTTAGGATGCAAAAATATCTACATTGGATTAGGAGCTGAAGACGAAGGAAGATTTCCATTTTTCTGCTTCCGTTACGTGAGCATCGTTGTTTTATGCTATTATATACCCTTTTGCAAGGTATCCACAGTTAGTTACCTTTAGCATCATTAAAGTGATGAACATGATATGGCTGTCAAAGGCTGCTCACAAGTGGACAACTGTGACATTTTGAGAAGGCAGTGTCAGGCTCACAGAGAAATATAGGCTCTGGAACTGCAAATTCTAAACGGGAGGTCACTTTTGAAAAACTGTCCTACTGAAATATGCACAACACAATGTTTTTTATTTTTGGTATTTTGAATAGTATTTTATAAGAATTGTCTACTGTAGAATATTAAATGAAAATGTTTGATAAACTAATCATAGTATCTGCTGGTTTTAAAAACTATCTCATCATAGTGAGTTGTATATACCAGAAACACAGTACAAAGATGATTTAAAGAGATATTCACACACATATATTTACAAACACACACATACACACCCCACACAACACACATGTAAGTTATTAAGAATACATCTGGTACTTATTAGAGCTGTGATATATCTACCTGTTTAATAGGGAAGAAAATTTTAAAAGCATCTTTATAAATCCTTGTCAAGTCTAACCTGTTAACACCATTGGCATGGCTGGGATGTTTATCTGTCTGAAGTCAATGAAACATAAAAGTCTGTTTTGCCTAAACATTGGAGTCAGCTGTTCTTTTTAATTCATCTCAGGAACAAGAGAAAAAAGTTAAAAACAATCTTCTACAGCTTGGAATAAAATATTTGAGAACAAGTGGCATGTGAGGAACTGTACCTTTTTTTTTCAAAATTGTGATTGTTCAAATTAGGGAAGCCCTGGTAGTGCAGTGGTTAAGAGCTCGGCTGCTAACCAAAAGGTTGGCAGTTTGAATCCACTGGCTGTACCTTGGAAACCCTATGGGGCAGTTTTACTTTGTCCTATAGGCTCGCTATGAGTTGGAATTGACTCCACAGTAACGGTTTTTCTTTTTTTTTAATTCAAATTAGAAATTGTTGCCCAAATAACTGGAAGGCACGGGCAGATGCTTGAAGGAATAGAAGCCACTTTACTGTTAAATAACACTTTGGATATAAGAACTGGCTTAGTATTTCCATATTTCTAGTTTGAAAGGCATTAACCTTCAAGGCTCCAGTGCTACTGATAAGTGGGGTTAGCACTTTGGATGATCCAAAACACTTATAATTTTTTTGCTGGTAGAATTATTTGTATCTAACATAATTTATAGGAATGCAAAGGGACCAAAATGGCTTGAAATTGCGAGCACCATAATTTCCTTATGAGACTTTGCGATGACTCTCTATTGGATTTGACTCAACATAAATTTCTTAGATGACTATGTCTTGCATTTGCTCTTGCTGATAAATACCCCACTCTGTAGCTATCAAACTCACCAGGCTGCATAAATAGCAAAGGATGAAGATGCAATAGAATTCCAAAGGTGATAAAGATCCACATTCTATGAGTCCAGACACATAAAGTAACTATTACTACTTTGACTTCCGAGTTTAATGAGACTAGGCAGATTATAAATTACATGAATACATAGATACGACTCAGACAGAAATCCGGCTAAACACATGCAGCAATTCATTGCCATATTTCATAATCTTTGCATAGCTCTTTGCCATGGGATAATAAATAATTTAATAACTACTGGGGAAAAATTCCCCACCACCCAAGTATGCTGCATATTCGGGTAACCATCTTGTATCTTTAAAGACTAAACAGTTGTAATTCTAGCAAAATTTTTATTGTTCCTCAGAAAAACAATGTACTTTGAGACTTCATCGATCTAGAAATCATTAACATGAGATCCAGTGAAGTGAGGTACTAATTAAACAATGACTTTTCATATTGAGATTTTTTTCTTTTATTTTACATACAAATATGGCTTTCGTTCAACAAAAATAAAAGTGAAATATTAACTGAAAAAGTGATCCTTTTGCGAAACTTGGGAAGTGTTTTAAAATAAATCAGCACAGTAAATTCTAATGGAAGGAAAGATAAACACAAACATTTTAATGTTTAGTCTAGCTTATAGCTTTTGACACTTCAAGGGCATGTTGAGGTCTGGGGCCACTGCTCTGACTGCCACATTATTCCAGAGTAGAAAAGACTAAAGCTTACCTGGTCCAACAGTTAAGGGGGAGCCTGTTCGGGGTGGGGTGGCTGGTACATTTTTAGGAGGCAGTGGTGGAGGTGCTGCAAAGAGAAGACAAGTCCGTGTTATCGCTCACTTACTTCCGAAATTACATTATATACTTTAGATAAGCAGGATTTGGGCTTTCATTGAGATTCCTGATATTGGGACTAGACTACCCATCAATGGTCTAAATTTTTTAAGTTTAAAGGCAAGGGGCTGAAGCAAGACCCATTCAGATTCTTCTGTTGTATGACAATAAGAATTTGTCAAAAGAATATCAAGTAATAACAATAATATTACCATTTTATTCATGCAGTCAATTCATTCATTTGATAAACCTTCAGTGCCAACCAAGTTCCTGTACTAAGAACTAGGGACATAGGCTGAATGAAAACAGCTTCCGCCCTCAAGGAATTCATGACTGAGTAATGAATATCAAGTAAAGAGGCAATTTCAAAGCAGGATATAATGAAGGAAATACAGACATACCTCATTTTATTGTGCTTCACTTTATTATGCTTTGCAGATATTGTGTTTTTTACAAATTGAAGGTTTGTGGCAATTCTGCGTTGAGCAAGCCTAACAGCACCATTTTTCCAACAGCATGTGCTCACTTCGTGTCTCTGTGTCAAATTTTGATAATTCTCTCAGTATTTCAAGCTTTTTCATTATTCTTATATCCGTTATAGTGATCTGTGATCAGTGATCTTTGATATTACTATTGTAGTTGTTTTGGGGCATCATGAACCGAGCCCATATAAAACAGTGAATTTAATTGATAAATGTTGTGTGTGTTCTGATTGCTCCACCAACTGGCAGGTCCCCCAACTCTCTCCCTCTTCTTGGGCCTCCCTATTCCCTGAGACATGACAATATTGAAATCAGGCCAATTAATAACCCTACAATGGCCCCTAAGTGTTCAAGTAAGAGGAAGAGTCACATGTCTCTCACTTTAAATCTAAAGCTAGAAAAAATGATTAAGCTTAGTGAGGAAGGCATGTCAAAAGCCAAGATAGGCCTCTTGCACCAAACAGGTAGCTAAGTTGTGAACGCAAAGGAAAAGTTCTTGAAGGAAATTAAAAGCACTACTCCAGTAAACACAGGAATGATAAGAAAGTGAAACAGCCTTATTGTTGATAGGAGAAAGTTTTAGTGGTTTGGATAGAGAAGATCAAACCAACCACAACATTCCCTTAAGCTAAAGCCTAATTCAGAGAAGGGTCTAACTCACTTCAATTCTGTGAAGGCTGAGAGAGGTGAGGAAGCTGCAGATGAAAAGTTTGAAGCTAGCAGAGGTTGGTTCATGAGGTTTAAGGAAAGAAGCCATCTCCACAACATGTAAGTGCAATGTGAAGCAGCAAATGTTGATGTAGAAGCTGCAGCAAGTTATCCAGAAGATCTAGGTAAGATAATTGATGAAGGTGGATACATTAAACAACATATTTTCAATGTAGATGAAATAGCCTTATATTGGAAGAAGATGCCATCTAGGACTTTCATAGCTAGAGAGGAGAAGTCAATACCTGGCTTCAAAGCTTCATATGAGGGCTGACTCTCTCATTAGGAGCTAATGCAGCTGGTGACTTTAAGTTGAAGCCAGTGCTCATTTACCATTCTGAAAATCCTAGGGTCCTTAAGAATTATGCTAAATCTACTCTGCCTGTGCTCTGTAAATGGAACAACAAAGCCGGGATGACAGCACATCTGTTTAAAGCTTGGTTTACTGAATATTTTAAGCCCACTGTTGAGACCTACTGCTCAGAAAAAAAGATTCCTTTCAAAATATTACTGCTCATTGACAATGCACCTGGTCACCCAAGAGCTCTGATGGAGATGTACAAGGAGATTAATGTTGTTTTCATACCTGCCAACATAACATCCATTCTGCAGCCCATGGATCAAGGAGTTATTTCAATTTTCAAGAAATACTATTTAAGAAATACATTTTGTAAGGCTATAGCTGCCATAGATAGTGATTCTTCTGATGGATCTGGGCAAAGTAAATTGAAAACCTTCTGGAAAAGATTCACCATTCTAGACGCCATTAAGAAAGAACATTCATGACTCATGGGAGGTCAAAATATCAACATAATCAAGAGTTTGGAAGAAGTTGATTCCAACCCTCATGGATGATTTTAAGGGGTTCAAGACTTCAGTGGAGGAAATAACTGCAAATGTGTTGGAAATGGCAAGAGAACTAGAATTAGAAGTGGAGTCTGAAGATGTGACTGAATTGCTGCAATCTCATGATAAAACTTTAACGGATGAGGAGTTGCTTCTTATGGATGAGCAAAGAAAGTGCTTTCTTGAGATGGAATCTATTCCTGGTGAAGATGCTGAGAACATTGTTGAAAGGACAACAAAGGATTTAGAATATTACATAAACTTAGTTGATAAAGCAGTGGCAGGGTTTGAGAGGACTGACTCCAATTTTGAAAGAAGCTCTACTATGGGTAAATGCTATCAAACAGCATCACATGCTACAGAGAAATCTTTCATGAAAGGAAGAGTCAATCAATGCAGCAAATTCACTGTTGTCTTAATTTAAGAAATTGCCACAGTCACCCCAGCTTTCAGCAACCACCACCCTGATCAGTCAGCAGCCTTAACATTAGGCAAAACCCTCCACCAGCAAAAAAATTGCGACTCACTGAAGGCTCAGATGAGGGTTAGCATTTTTCAGCAATAAAGTATTTTTTATTTAAGGTATGTACATTTTTTTTAGACATACGCTATTGCACACTTAATAGACTACTCATTAAAACCCATTGCCATCAAGTCGATTTCAATTCACAATGACCCTATGGGACAGAGTAGATCTGTTCCATAGGGTTTCCAAGGAGCAGCTGGTGGATTCAAACTGCCAACCTTTTGGTTTATAGCCAAGCTCTTAACCCCTGTGTCACCATGGCTCCTAATAGACTACAGTATAGTGTAAGTATAACTTTTATATGTACTGGGAAACCAATAATTCACGTGACTTGCTTTATTGCAGTGGTCTGGAACGGAACTTGCAATAACTCTGAGGTATGCCTGTAACAGGCTGAGTTATAAGAACAGCTAATGTGAGGAGATTTTAATCTCCTCAGAAGATTATTGCCTGCATTGAGTCTGGAAGGATTTCTCAAAGTTATATTCTTTAAATTTTACTCTATTTTTGAAAATGTGAAGCAAAATGATTTGGGTCAAGGAGGAATGAGTAGATTCCTTCAGTAAAAATTACAGCCAAACAAATTTCTGAGGTAGAAAAAGCATCACGTTATGGTCCCTTCCTAAATATTTACCATTCTGAATTGGGCTTGTCACTTTTTGGGCAAAGTTAGGAATTATTATTTCAACAGATATATATTTTTTCTTATTCTGTCCTTAAATGTATATTTTCTTGTCACTGGCCATACTTGATAGATTCAAAGAGCTCACACTTATCTCAAAGCATCCCAAAGTCCAGTCATGAATGTGAACCTGGCTCAATCTTTCATGATCTAGGAGTCCCTTGGTAGTAATGCTGATTGAAAAGTTGGAGGTTCAAGTCCACACAGAGGAACCTTGGAAGAAGTAGATCTGCTTCCAAAAAAATCAGCCACTGAAAACCTATGGAGCATAGCTCTATTCTGCCACACATGGGGTTGCCATGAGTGGGAAACGACGTGATGGCAACTTTTTTTTTTTTTTTTCATAATCTAAAAGCAGAGTGAGTCAGGAGGGCATATAGTAAAAGATCTCTTTCCAGTACCGTCTAACTGCGGAAATTAGGAAGAGCCCCTTTCTGTCATTCCCTCCTTTTTCTGTTTGTCATCTATCTATGTATTATAGAGGGCACCCTGCCATCCACACGAACAGGCATAACTAACAGCTATCACCCTAAAGTACAGAGATGTATGGTTTCTAACCTGAGTTATGAGCCTCTGTAAACTACACCTTAAATGAATCATATTTCCCCACAGAAGTTAAGAGTCAGTCAGGGACTCTGTTCTTGATTAAATATCTCTGTACGCAATTAATCAAGATCATAATCAACAAAATATCATAAAAGCAAATAAAAAGTCATTCAAGTATGATCATTTAAAAGAGCAAAGTTGTACACCATGTATGCAATGAGCAGAATTATACAACACACATCAATTATACAACAGCCTCTGCTGTGCTGTTAAGTGTAATGACAGCCCATAAAACTCTCAACTCGAAAATATTCATACCAAAAAAACCAAACCCATTGCCCTCGAGTTGATTCTGACACATAGTGACTCTATACACAGAGTAGAACTGCCCCACAGGGTTTCCAAGGCTGTAAATCTTTATGGAAGCAGACTGCCACATCTTTCTCCCACAGAGCGGCTTGTGGGTTTGAACTGCCAACCTTTTGGTTAGTAGTCAAATACTTTAACCACTGTGCCACCAGGGATCCTTGAAAATACCAATAGTTGGACTTAAAACCAATACATTATCTACATTAACATTTCATTTGTTTACTTCCTTGGCATTTAGGAAGACTTTTCTAGGAATAATTTGGATATCCCTGGTCTCTAAAGAAAGCTTTTCAAGGAAGTTAAGAGTTTTTTTTCTGGCTTTGCTTCCCAGTAGCAAGGAGAATCATTCAAAATCATGCCACTGGGTTCCAAGTTCTATCAAAATTCATCTTTGAAGGTTCAGAACTTTTAAAAACATGTTGTTGATACTGTTTTTTGAATCCTATTTTATGGGGGAAATATCCTTGGGAAGGCTGGATCACATGGTTTTACAGCAATAATGTTCCCAACTTCTTGACCTTTGATTACAAATCCCTTGGTTAATTTCAACTTTTTTTTTTTTTTTTTTTTGGTGGGGGAGGGCATACCAAAAGGGAAAGCCCTGGGGCTGCTAAGTGGGAAAAGTATTAATTGGTCTGTATGTGAGCCTTAAAATCTCTGGGTGGTGCAAATTGTTAACGTGCTCGGCTGCTAACTGAAAGGTTGGAAGTTTGAGTCTACCCAGATGCACCTTGGAAGAAAGGCCTGGTGATCTACTTCCAAAAAATCAGCTATTGAAAACCCTTTGGATAAGTAGGGCAGCACTCTGTATGATCAACAATGAAATTTTTTTGTTAGTAGATTTATCTACCATAATTTAGAGGAATGTGAAGGCTCTACTTCTACATACATGGAGTCACCATGAGTCAGAGCCGACTCAGTGGCAACTGGTATGTGAACCCCATCTAGTAAAAATAACCTCCATCCTCCAAACACCTTTCTCTGAGATCCAAATCTTCTCTGGGCATTTTAATGAATACACATCTGCTATGGCTGGTCTACCAAAATGAGAATTCAATAAATCCATCAAACTGGTGGCTTGACCAAAATGAGCAATCCATTTAGTCCAAATGGTCCAGCCCACTACAGGTGAAGGGCTATAAAGATCTTTAGAACCTCCTTCCCCAGCCACCCGGGGTGGGAGGCATGCTGGAATAAGCAGGGCTGACAGCCCTACATTGAGATAAATTTGCCATGATCCTGTCTCAGCTTCTGTCTACTATTCAGCCTTGTTTCTTCTGCTCTCCAATTATCCCCCTTTACTCTCAACGCAGCCTTTCTATCCAACGCAGCATCAGCTGTTCTACAGAACTAATAGGGACCATATCTGACTTGTTCACCTTTGCATTGTGTGATAGCTAGTTGGTTCTTTAGCTCATTTGCATCACACTATCTTCATTTTATGTGTGTGTGTGTGTGTGTGTGTGTGTGTGTGTGTATATATATATATAATGAATGAATGACCAAACAGAAATGGGGCATGTGGAACCATGAACCATGATTCAAGGTTAATAATTTTACTTCATTTTATTTTTTTATTCCTGCCTAAATAACCTTCTCTGGGCTCCTTTAACTCTAAAGCCTATTAGAACAACAACCTTTCTTCTTAATATTATGCAGTTCAAATGTTACTTAAGTAGACTTTCTTAGAGTTGCCTAATTTCACTACACAGACAGACAGTAAAATGACTCACTCATTTTTCCAGACAGAACAGACATATAACTTACTTCCAGTGGGAAAAGGTCTTGTTAACTTTGGCGACTCGACACTTGGGTTAATTGATTGGCCTGAACCCCATATCTCAGGCTGATCTATAAGAACTGGAAACACAGAAAGAAAATTTCCCAGGGTAAGTTCAAAACAGAACACTCCCTGGATTTTAGAGCTTAAAATTTCAATTTAAAGTTGAGCATCACAATATTATCTCCCCCCGCCTCTGCACTGGTAAATTAATTTAGGAATGTGCTGCTCCTCATTCTACTCAAGCAGAGAATGAAAATAGGAGTGATATGTGTGTGTAGGGGGGTCTGTGTGTGTAAATATAGCTAAATAAAAACTTCTAAAATACGGCTTCTACATTTTCTTCCTGGTTGATCACTTAAGTGCATTTAAATCAGTAACTGTACTAACTCAGTTTCTGGCACCCATTTGAAAACCAGGCATTAATCTTATGGGCATTTGTTTTGTTGTAAGTTGGTTTGTTTAAATTTTGCCATAAATATGCAGCAGAAATAAAAATACCTGGGTTATAGATAGTGGTTTATATCTTCAAAGGGTCTTCCAGGGTTTTTAAATAAAACCTTCTTAGCATCATAATCAGAAATAAAATTATTTTAAAAATATTTGGTGACAATCTTAAGGGAATATCAGAAAAAATTAACAAATTCTTGATATCTAAAATGAATCAGAGAATGCATAAAGGTAACTAAGTACTGGGCCTAAAGACACTGAATTTAACATTTCTCCTATTTTATTTTTTTCCTTGTTTTGAGTTCTTTATTGCTATAGTAACAATGTAAATAATTACCTCTTCTTAGCACCTATCATGTGTCAGGGACTATGCAAGTACTGCTTTTTATTTTTTTTTAGTTTTATTTTGGTTAATTATATGTAATGTATAATCTGCCATTTTAACCGTTTTTAAATATATAATTCAGTGACATTAATTACATTCACATTATTGTACATCCTAACCATTATCAGTTCTAAAACTTTTTAATAACCTCAAACAGAAACTCAGAACCCATTAAATAATAACTCCCCATTACCCCTTTCCCCAGCCTCTGGTAACCACTAGTCTACTTTGGTCTCTGTGCATTTACCCATTCCAGATATTTCATATAAGTGAAATTATATAATATTTGTCCTTTTGTGTCTGACATTTCAGTCAGCATATGTTTTCAAGGTTGATCCATGTCATAGCATATATTAGAACTTTATTTCTCTTTATGGCTGAATAATATTCCATTGTACACATATACCATCTGTTAACGGACATTTGGGTTGTTTTCACATTTTGGCTATTGTGAATAATGCTACAATGAACACTGGTGTACAAATATCTGTTTGAGTCCCTGCTTTCAATTATTTTGGGTATATATCTAGATGTGAAATTGATGGTTACATGGTAATTCTGTGTTTAACTCTTTGAGAAACTCCCAAACTGTTTTCCACAGAGGCTGAACTATTTTATATTCCCACCAGCAATGGATGAAGGTTCCAACTTCTCCACATCCTCACCAACGCTTATTATTTTCTGTTTTTTTTTTTTTTTTTTTAAATAATAGCCATCCTAGTGGGTATGAAGTAGTATCTCATTGTGATTTTGACTTGCATTTACCTAATGGCTAATGATGAAGAGCATCTTTTTATGTGCTTATTGGCCATCTGTATATCTTCTTTAGAAAAATGTCTATTTAAATTCTTTGCCCATTTTTTGATTGGGTTGTTTATCTTTTTGATGTTGAGTTGTGCAAATACTGCTTTTAATTCATTGCAGTGGAGAGAACAGGCTGAGAAGTCAGTCAGATGTGGTTTGAATCCAGACTCTATTCTTACTGAAGGACCTTGGGCAAGTTATTTAACCTTTTTGAGCTTTTGCTCCTTTGGGTGTAACATGAGGATAAGAACAATTTCACAGAGTTGAAGGAGGAGGATTACCAACTTATAGTGACCCTATAGGACAGAGTAGAACTGCCCCATAGGGTTTCCAAGGAGCAGCTGGTGGATTTGAACTGCTGACCTTTTGGTTAACAGATAAGCTCTTAACCACTGTGCTGCCAGGGCTCCAGAAGAAGGTATTGTATATAAACTTACTGTATATAAAACACTTAGCACAAGGCCAGTTACTATTTTTATATATTTGAATCCTTATAACACCATCATGTAGCTGATATAAGTACCATTTTTGGGAGAGGAAGCTGTGGATTAAAGTGGCTAAATAACTTGAGCAAGAGCTAAGATCTGATCCAAATATATTTGACTCCAGAACATTTTTCCACAGGGCTTTTAAACTAATGTTTGAAGAATCAGTCAGAAAAAGTAAGAGTGGGTAGATAAGAAAAGGAAGTGTGGGTTTTGGAAGAGCAACTATGGTTGGTGCAAATGTTGAAACTTTACGGAACATCAGGGGCTGAAAGCACAGAAAGAACAATCAAGTTAGGCTCATTGACAAGTCTAGGTGTATATCACTTCTCCATCACAAACCTCAAGACGCTTTAGCTCTATTTTAACATGAACTCAAACATTCTCCAAAGATGTGAAACAACATTTTTTTTTTTTTCATCCATTCAGTGTGGGACACCACCATGGTTTTTAAGATTTTTAAATTTTATTTTGCATATCAGGTTTCCAAAAAGTTATGGAATACCTTAAATAATACCTTAAATTTGATGCAAGAAATCAAATCCCATTTTCAGTTCCTCCACAGTTACGTCAGCAAATGTGTGATTGATTATAGGTGAGCTTATAATAGCTGAAGGCCTTACCTCAGGGCCACCTTTATATAGGGGTTCTAAGTTATAGGCATTTTAATAGCTGAAAGAGTATTTAGGAATTCTCCTTATACCTTTTCTTAACTACATCATTTAAAATATTTCAGTCTGACTGGTAGCTGTCCCAGCATCCATTTTCCACATTTATAATTTGAGTTTAGCTGGTCATATGGCACTAAATTCTCTCCAGGGGGCTCTAGTTGGAAGTGATGTGTCTTCCAAATTTTGCCCTTACAAGAACTGGCAGTGAGTTCCATTGGCCCTTTTCCCCCTGTGATTATTAAGGCTCATTCCTCAATGTGATCAGCCAACAAACCTGGTGGCAGGGTAATTACATTGGACCACTTCCATCATGGAAAGGGCAGTATTTTGTTCTTACTGGAATAGACACTTACTCTGGATATGGATTTGCCTTCCCTACACACAGTGCTTCTGTAAAAACTACCGTCTGTGGACTTATAGAATGCCTTATCCACTGTCGTGGTGTCCCACATAGCATTGTCTTGGATGAAGGGACTCACTTCACAGCAAATGAAGTGTGGTAATGGGCCATGCTCGTGAAATTCACTGGTCTTACCATATTCCCCCTCACCCTGAAGCAGCTGGCTTGATAGAACGATGGAATGGCCTTCTAAAGATACAATTATGGCACTAGATAGGTGGCAATACCTTGCAGGGTTGAGGCAATGTTCTCCAGGAGGCTGTATATGCTCTAAACCAGTGTCAGTATATGGTGCTGTTTCTCCCACAGCCAGTATTCATGCGTCCAGGAATCAAGGAGTAGAAAAGGGACTGGCACCACTCACTATTACCCCTAGTGACCCACTCACAAAATTTTTGCTTCCTGCTCCCATAACCCTATCCTCTACGAGTCTAGAGGTCTTAGTTCTAAATGGAGAAATGCTCCCACCTGGATACATATCACCAATTCCACTGAACTGGCAGTTAAAGAATGCTACCTGGCCATTTTGGGCTCCTTATGCCTCTGGATCAACAGGCAAAGAAGGGAGTTACCATATTGCTGGTGTGATTGAGTCTGACTACCAAGAGGAAATTGGACTGATATTACAAAATGGAGATAAAGAAGACTATGTCTGGAATGCAAGAGAGCCCTTAGGATGTCTCTTAGTACTACCACGCCCTGTGATTAAAGTCAATGGAAAACTATAGCAACCCAATTCGGACATGACTGCTGATGGCCCAGACCCTTCAGGAATGAAAGTTTGGGTCACCCCACTAGGCAAAGAACCATGACCAGCTGAGGTGCTTGCTGAAGGCAAAGGGAATATAGATGGGAGGTGGAAGAAGGCAGTTCTAAATGTCAGTTACAACCACATGACCAACTGCAGAAACGAGGACTGTGATTGTTATGAGTATTTCTTCCTTGTATGTGTGCATCAAATATTTTTGTTTTCTTCACTTATGAAATATAAGATGTAAACAGCTAGTACGTTTTCAGTTGTACGCATGTTAGTTGTATCATGTTAAGAGCAATTATGACTTTATAATTGTCTTTATTCCGAGATTATGTATGGTATAAGGAGATGTATACAGGTGCCAAGTAGACAAGGGGTGGACTGTGATCATTAAGGTTGTGTGTCAACTTGGCTGAGCCATGATTCTCAGTAGTTTGGCAGTCGTATAATAATGTGATCACTTCCCTGATGGGATCGGCTGTGAGTAGCCAATCAGTTGAAAGGGAGTTACCTTGGGGCTGTGGCCTGCATTCAATAGAGGTAGACTTTCTGGCAAGGTTCACGGGCTTTTACTCTCTCTGGATCCTGCAGCTGGCTCCCGTTCATCTAACTTCTGGTTCTTGGGACTTGAGCTAGCAGCTTGCCTGCCAATCTTGGGATCCGTCAGCCTCCTCAATCTGGATCTTGAGTTCACCAGCCCCTGTAGCTACTTGAGTCAGTAAAAGCCTCCAGCCTGACCCACGGACTTGGGACTTTTCAGCCTCTACAACCATATGAGCCATTTCCTCTCTATATATATATGTATATATAGATGCTTCACTGGTTTTGCTTCTCTAGAGAACCCAGCCTATGACACCTCCTTTCTTCTAACTGGGAGATAATGAGACCCGGAGCAGCTACCTTGGGCCCAGAGATGAGGGCCACATTCTGAAGATGGCAGGGCCACCCTGTTGTTGTGTGCTATTGAGTTTATTCTGACTCATAGTGATCCTCTATGACAGAGTATAACTGCCCCATGAGTTTCCTAGGCTGCAATCCTTACAGGAGCAAATCACCAGGCCTTTTCTCCCACGGAGCACTGGTGGGTTTGAACCACCGACCTTTCAGTTAGCAGCTGAGTGCTTAACCACTGTGAAACATTAGGGATCCTTAGGGCCATCTTATCAGTCTTATATTGCTTACTTCTAGACTGTTAACATGAACATAAATAAAATCCTATCTTGTTAAATTCGCCCTACTTTGGAGTTTCTTTGTTATTGTGGTTTAGCCTACTCATTATGCTTTCAATTATTGTTGTCCTAACATATTTAATTTCTTTCACCAATGAGTCCTGGAAAAATAACATTTTACATAATGCTCTTAAGTCACACTATATATTACCAAACACAGCTACAGAGGATATGTATATTGGACATAAACACATTTCAAGCATAGATCAGGTTCTTTTTATAGAGAGTTTCTTTTATATCAGCAAGGGATATGCTATTTATGGCCATTAAAAAATGAAATTTAACTCTATGAATGAATAATCTGCAAGCCCAATAATAATGACAGAAATGAATGTATTCTTTTTCTCCCACATTTTACTTCTAAATTGCTAAATGATTCAAGGTCACTCCTGGATTGTGGTTCTGCAAACAATGTCATTTTCGAGCAGTCCAGTTGACACTTCCATTGATGACGTGAAACAGTAAATGTGGCCTGATTGCAATGACAGGGACTATGATGGGGAGTATAAGGGGCTGGCTCCTTTGTGCTCCTGCTAATACCTCAAATGATGGCTGTTTAGCTCACAGAGCCCTTATTCCCTGACCAGTGATTTGAGCAGATTTGCAATAATTCTTTCTGACCTCTTTTGAGGAATGAATTTGTTAGGTATTAGATTTTTGTTTTTTTGGAGGTAAAGTTTCAAATCCTAAAATAATAGAGGTTTGCAAACTAAACTCCTGTGCTTTATAAAACATCTAGATGAGAACTTTTATTTCACTCAAGAAACTGATGATGCATTAAAAATGTGCCTCAGTCAAATTCTCAATGACATTCTGGAGGCATTGAGGTGAATGGACCTCTGAAACTATTGCCCTGAGAATTTTTAAATCTTAAACCTCAAGCCAAAACGATCTCCCTGAAATCTTCTCTGAACCAAACAATAGTTCATATTAATTAGTAAAGTACGTCTGCCTTGAGCATTGTGCTCTTTTAAAGAATTATCTATGTGGGATCAAATTGACAACAGTAACTCGAAAGGTTAGAGAGGCTTAGTGGGCAGTGATTTTATGTTAATAGAGGTAGAATAATTTGGAAAAGGATACTGAGAATGGTTGCCCAACTTGAAGAATGTAATCAGTGTTACTGAATTGTACATGTAGAAATTGCTGAAATGGTAATTCTTTGGCTGTGCATGTTTTCACCAAAAAATTAAAACAAATAAATAAATAAATGGAAAAAAATACCTCAAAACACTTATACTTACTCTAGGTAAGTCATACTTCACTGAAAAGAAAAACAAATCCATATACATATAGTTTCTTTTACCTTCTGTCTTTTGTTCATCAAAAGCTGATTCTAATGGTGGGCCAAAGAGGGGAGCAAGGGCCATAGTGTCATCTGGAGCCTTTTTGCTAAACCATATACATTAAAGCAAAACAGAGAGAAAGACAGGGATTATTAATGCTAAAAAAGATATACAAATTACAAGCTTTCAAATATTTCTGTAGGTGAGACAGGTGTGTGTGCATGTGTGTGTGCCAGTGTGCGCACTCTTGTAAGCATGCCTGCAAGCATGTGTATACAAAGGTCTTGTAGGGCTAGAAAATATTACAAAGGATGTCAAATATATAAATATGTTATGGGACAAGAGAGTTGGTAGGAGATAAGATCCCTGGCTCTCAGTAGGGTACCAGGGTGGTGGTCCAACAGGAGTAAGTTAGAAGGAGAGAAAGTCTTTTCCAAGCATCATGATTATTTACACCTAGATGAGATAATACTAGAGATAAGAGTTTATTGCAAAGCGCCTTTCTCACTTAAGATCTCAAAAAACATTTATATTGGTCTTCACCACACCTCTTTCCTGTAGTGAACACAGTTTAGGTATAGGGAGGTAAGGTGACCAGCCACCCAGGATGTCAGTGTTTGTGTCTGAATAAGAAACAGGATCTTCCAACTTCTAATTTCATTTCTCCCCACCCAACAGACTAGCCATAACCTCTTAACATCCTAAAGTAGCACACTGCAGAAAGGGAAGCAGAGTATCAAGAAATTGGGGGGGGGGGCAGGGAAATGATAAGCTAAACTCTCACCATTTCTTTTAATTATTACTCTAGATAGATTATTACCAAAGGGCTGCATAATCTTCTTTATTTCTTCTCTAGTCCTGATTCCCCTCACTGATCCTAAGGAGTTTTCTCTCTCCATGTACGTGTGGAAGCGGGTGAAGAGGTGAAGAGGAGAGGGGAGGGATTGCGGAAGGAGGGAAAAATGTAAAAGAACCCAGCTTTTAAATAGTAATAACAGTCTTTCTGAAAACAATACCCATTTGTACAATACTTACCTAACCCAAAGAATACACTGCTTTGCCAAAACCCAAAACATCTAAGAACACTCCTTTGGTGTGTGACAGATGGAATGAATGTATCATGAAATTATAACCTTCTCCATAGGGTAATATAATCATATTTTAGATCAGCATTCGAGACACCAAAAGACCCTTCCCATTAGTGAGCGAACTAAACATTCTGATGGATGGTTACTTTAGATGACCGCAGAATACTTCCCCAAAGGTCTCCCTGGGGCTGCAGTTATGAGAAATGATAGCATATTTGGACCATACTATGACCTGTAACTATGGGCAGCCTGCTTATTAACAGGCAGTCAGGAGATTAGCCCAGAGAAAATTTGCTTAAATGTTAACAGGGCATGATGCCTTGCATAAGACATAACCAATGTCTTCCATGCTCACCTTACAAGCTCTGGAGTTGGTGTGGAACGCCTGGGTCTTGCCACTTCTTCACCTGATTGATGCACAGGACAAAGGGACTTTTTAGGCCTATATTTTACCATTCCCCTCTGACACCGTTTATGAGTTGTTTGGAAACACTAAGAGATTTAAGTCCCATCAATAAGCAATTCAATATTAAAACACTGCAAAACAAACCCAGAAAACAAGCCCTCTCTCCTGGCAATGCAACAGTCATGTATTAGGCATATGTAGTGGCATTTTCTCTGGCATTTGTAAAATCTCATTCACCAAGGAACCTCCATGATAAGCCATTAAATAGATCTGTGTATTGCAGAGCTTAGCAAAATAGCATACGATTCTTCAAATGTCTGCTGTGTTGATCAGTTCTGCTACTCAATTAGCATGAGACTACTAAGTCAGGCCATATGTACACAGTACATGAATCCAGCATTCTATGCCTGTTCTTTTCTTGAAATGCCAAGAAAATGTCAGACCTTTAACTATATACCATGAATTTAGAATTTCCTGGAATGTGTTGTATGCAGCAGAGGAAAATAGTACTCTATGCATATGATAACCTATATCACTTTGGTTGATTAAATTTTCATGTTAAATAACACAAGAATGGTTAAACTGCATCTACCTTTAGTTCCTTCTGTCCTCCTCCTCTCCCCACCCCCATCAACAAACACGTACTTGATTAAATTCATTTCTAAAGTTATAATGATACATCAAGAGTAGACAAATATAGGAAGAAGATAGAAATGTTTTTCCAAAAGCACATTCAGTTTAAGAATTTAAATATTAATCATCCTGAGCCCACAGAGATCCTCTATCATTACAACATGTCTTTGCTGTAAAAGTAAAAAAATTATAAAACTTAAAAATTCAGTCCAAAGTGTATATAATTCAAATGTACACATCCTCTAAGATCCAAGGAACCATTCCTTCTTTTAAATCGTACTCTATTTCTTGTAGCTAAAATATACTTACTGGATAAGTTCCTTTTAATTGCACCCTAGAATCAGAAATAGACACTATAAGGTTTAAGACCACATAGATGTTATGTACAATATGTATATTTCTGTTATTTCATTAGACTGAACTAAGAAACGCAGATGTGGAAAATAAAATTTTTCTTAAACTGCATTCAAGTTGGAAATTGTAGACACACATGCACATAAATCAAATGTTCATTTGACTCAAAGGTTGTTTGAGAGGAAGGGAGGATAAATGAGTCTTCTGAACCAGAAAAAAACCCTTACCTGGGTAGATATGGTAAATTAAAGACAAATAATGAAGAGTCCATTAAAGACAAAACAAAACGAGAACCTTGAACTCTAGCAGCCAAGAAAGTAAATCCAAGGCTACCATAATCCATGACCCAGTTTGATAACTGAAAATTATAGAATGTATTAGGGGTACTATCTGCTTCTAGTCAGGTGGAATCCACAAGTTGCTAGTATAAACAGCCATCAGTTTACTAATGCAATCTTTAAAGATATAAATGGCAAGTGTTAAAGGGAAGGGAAACTTGGAGGCATTGCCACTGAGTGAACTGTTTTATTCAGCAAACCAGGGAATTCCACCTGCCGGCCAAGGGCCCACCAGTCCAGTTACTGGGAGTCATTCCTTTAGCTCAAGGTATTGTGATCCTATTGGAATGCAAACAGCCCTGTCAGGAATAATCTGCGAAAGCCATCTCTAGCCTTTATAGCAACCATAACACCTTAAAAAAAAAGTAAGTTTATTTAGATAACAGAAGCATTGACTAGATCAAAAATTTTAATTTGAAATCAGAAGCAGTGAAAAGTTCTTAGCATGAGGTGCTACCAGAAAAGTAGACTGTCAGAAGGTTGGCATCATGGGGTGGGACATGGCATGGCCAGCCTTGGGAGAATGACAGGGGCAGGGATGGGGAGATTGAAGGTATAAGAAAGTATCACCATGAATGACAGTTCAGTGGGGTGGCCAACAGAGACACATTTTCCTTACTTTCTAACTCTGGTGAAGACTCAAGCCAGTGAAGACATGTTTTCTTTTCTCAAGTTATAACATTAACAACTCAGCGCCAGATCTCTGTAACAGACCTATATAAAACTTCTTTGCCTCTTTCCTAAAGACTTAAAGAATTTTCTATCCCATCTTTATCTCATTTAGGAGAGAGGAACAGTTTTAATGTCAACAAGGATCCATTAGATGTTTTTCTTTAGGTGAGAAGTGATTTCTCCTCATAAGGTAGGTGATTTAAATCTTTCAAGCTATATTTTCCAGCTTGTCTTTCCTAATAATGCGATCTATTTCCTCCTGTTTGGTGTGCCATATAGAGAATTAGTACACCATTAGTAAAAAACTTTTAACCAATACATTCATTTAAATCTGCTATGGTTATTATGGGGTTTGGATACATATTCGCTTTTGGAAAATAAGACTCTGTGGACAGAAATAATTAAAGGGATAAACTGTTTAATAGAGCTGAGATGTTTTTTGCAGTTATGAAGCCTCAGATAATCACTTCTCTATTAATAAGGTCTGAAGAAAAAGATACAGGGGGGTCTAGTTCCAAGTTGTTAGCACAAGGTTAATAAGCTGGCATTGAGGGAACAGGGCCCCCTCAGTACTGTGAGTCCTGAAATCCAGGAGTTCGAGGACCCCAGAGGCTGTAATGAAGACTATTTGGCTTTTCTGTACTGCTGTTTTTATTAAAAATGTAAAATACCCACGAAACTAAGAAGGGTACAAAGCTTCTTTTGTATTCATTGATTCCCAGGTGTACTAACTCATTCAACAGATATTTACCGTTGAGGCCCTAAGGAAGAAGCCCTTGTAACATTTTTATTAAATTGCCTTCATGAATGAACAATCCCCAGTTAAGTGTGAGCAAGCAAGGCAGAAAGATGCAAGAAAACCCTGTTGTTTAAAAATTAGAAGGAATAAAAATATCAATTTATAAAGAACAGATATTCCAATGAACCACAGCAAGTCTGTAGCAACAGAAAAGAAAGCCCTATTGTCAGCTGGATCCAGCATACAGATCTTTGACGACCTTGATGTTGCCAGCACGACAAAGCTGGAACAAGGTTAACGTGATGTCCGGCACACAAGCCACATTCAGGCAAAACACCATTCAATTAAAAAACCTTCACCTCCTCACTATGTGACCACATTTTCCTCTTTTCAATGATTGTTTGTTGATATATGTATATTGTGAATAATTTTCCTTCATTTTTGAATTAGTAAACTCACTCTTTGCTTTAAAAAAAGAGAATATTTTTCATAATCTGAGATATCATCTAACCATGGGGTTGGAATCACCCACAACCTAAAAGCAGTCTCTGAAAACATTTAACTTAGAGCCCCAGCTCTGTAGTCAAATAAATAACCAACATGTCAGCTGGGGCAGGATATTTGCCTCAAACACTAATTGATGAATTGAACTGGCACAGGCCTAAGGGTGTATCAGAGAGGGTTGTTTTCAGTCCCATTTCCTTTCTCAAGGAGCTGACCAGGTAGGAGGAGGGCATTTCAAACATGGCGAACACCCTTCTTTTTGTTGCTTTAAATTCTTAATACCCTTCAACCTGAGGAAAGCGACTGAGAATTTACTTTGAACAAGACAATCTAACACTGATTAACTCTTTCAAAGTTTGTTTTCAGTGGTGAAATTTAGAATTATGTGACAGCCTAGGAGTTTTACCTTGAAAGCATAGCTCTTCCTCCCAAATTGAAATTAGGATTATATAACAGTGGATACTGACTCGTGTAAATTATGGTCCAGCAACACGTTTTGAATTCACGCTTAACTACAACCTGGTTTTAAAAATGGTTTTCTTACTTCCTTCTTTCTAGTTTTCTTATTCTTTGTTATCACTTTTCTATCAACTTCTATGGTGTTTTTAGCCAATCTCAACACCTTGCACTTACACACGCATACACATGCACGCACACACATACACAATGCACATACACACGTGCACATTTATCAGATTTAGCTCTAGGAGCTGGAACCCCTACATAGGAATTTAGTTTGTTATGGACAAGTGCTCTGATCATCTTTAACTATGCCCTGGACACTTGGAGGACCAGAAGCTTCCAACCAGTAAAACCTAACTCATCTGCCTCATTCACACTGGGTTATCATAAATTTAATGGGAAACCAACCTGGCCACCTTGCCTTGGCAGCAATTTTCTCTATATATGTTTAAGGTAAAAATGTTGAGAGTTCTTACCGGGCTGCGCCTCTGTGATCAGCAAAAAGGAAGAGAGAACAGACACCTAGTCAGAGAATGATGGATCAGTCAACAGGCTTGGGCAATAGAAGACTTCATAAACAGCTAACCATACATGCACTCCAAATAGTCAGGCCAACGTAAGACAAGCAGTCATTGTGTTTCGGGCTTATTTAAACCATAAGGAGACTTTGGAAAACCTTAAAGAGAGACTATCTGTTGTATAACAAAGCTTTGCTAAGAGGGAGGTGCTATTTTCAGTTATGTACACACAAGAACAAAGCAGAAATGTACAAGAAAACTTTACTGTCAGTTTCTAATGTCTTGTTAGAAGTTTTCCTCCAAATTGGGCTGAAGGGACAACGATTAAGAATAGGTAGTACAGGGCACACTGTTTCCCCGAATAGGGTATTAGCAAACATCATAAACATAGTGCCTTTCCGACATGATTAGGGCTTAAAGGAAGCCCCAAGAAAACCAGAGAGCAGAATTTAAGGAGGCCTCTTCCTTGTCTCCCATCTGTCAGTTTGTCATACCGTGGTGGCTTCTGTGTTGCTATGATGTCACTGGTATTTCAAATACCAGTAGGGTCACCCATGGTGGACAGCTTTCAGCAGAACTTCCAGACTAAGATAGTCTAGAAAGAAAGGTCTGGAGATCTACTTCTGAAAGTTAGTCAATAAAAACCTTATGGATCACAACAGAATACTATCTAATACAGTGCTGGAAGATAGGCCCCCCAGGTTGGAAGGTACTACACAACAGACACGGCAATAGACTCAAACACCAATGATCATGAAGATGGCACGGGACCAGGAAACATTTCATTCTGTTATTCATAATGTTGCTATGAGTTGGAGCTGACTGGATAGCAACTAACAACTTCCTTGTCTGGCTTTCTCTTTAAAGTGCCATGAAATGTGCGTTTATGAGAATATTATTTTGAAGGTACTTTTTCTAGTGATTTCGGCCACCTGTACCAATGGGTAGGAATGTAATGCAGAAGACGAGGAGCCGCTAATAAACACAGGCGGGAATAATAAAAACTGTCCAGCAACAATAGAACACGGGTGGACCAGATGATGTCTGGAAACACAAAACAAAGCAGACATATTTCTTCTTTCTTTCACTCCTCAAACCTTGACTACGGCTTAATTATCAAGTTACTCCAACAATCTCTGACTTCTGTCCTTCTTTAGGACCCTTCCGTGGTAACAAGAGTGACCAGGATGTGAGTGGGGAAAGAGATGTTGTACAGTTTCACTTTCAGGATATGGGCTAGCCCATGAACTCACCAGAGGCTACTTGACACCCAGTATTGACCACATCCCAAGGCACAAAACATAAAAGTAGCTAGGACATCGCTCGTATGAAGAGGCTGGCTCCACTCTCCAGAACATAGACAGGAAACAAAAGCCTATAGCCTTTTATACCTGAGAGACCTCCATGGATATCAAGTCTAACTCCCTTTATGATACAGAGAGGCAAGTGAGGCTCTCAGACACACAGAAGGTAAATGGGCAGAACCAGACTCCGAATTTAGATCTCTGGTCTCCCATTTTCATGTTCTTTCTATAATATCGAGCATGACATTGTTGGAGGACTCCTAAAGTAGAGAACAATTGTAGCTAACGTCCAGGAATGGTCACTTTCCAGGCTAGTTTTGTGTGTTAGGGCTCTAGACATGTTTACTCTAGTCCATTTGACTTGTAATATTTGACTTTATTATTTGCCGTGTATTCCATGTACTGGTCCACGTCAATCTCACCTTTCTTAAAAATCTGTCTGTATGCATGCATGAAATTTAAATGAAATTAGAAAAAAAAAGACAGCTGTGAATATGTATTTCTGGGCTTAAAATCTTGTACTGACTACTCCATACTGTGTTTTGAAAGAGAAAGAGACAATTTTATAGGAAGATTCAGACTTTATTCTTCTGTAGTGATCAGACTAAAGTTCTTTTTCAAGGAAGGAAATGTGGGAATTAATGATTTTAGATTCAGTTTCACGGCAAACAATTTCCTTTTAAAAGTAGCACAAAATACAGCAAGGAAGAGATTAAATGTGACACACCAAGATAAGATTATAAGAACTAATGTAAATTAAATGCCAATTGCAACCATATAGAGGCAGAACCTTAAATCAAGATCATTTATTAATTTAAGATTATAGAGAAAAAACACAATTTCAATTATATTAATCCACCCAAATTAAGTCATATCTTAATGTTCAATGACTTTGAAACAGATTATTTAGTCAATTGTTCATGTTTATATTTTTCTAGTAAAAGACATCCTCATAAGATAGAATTTTGGAAACTCCATTTGCAGATGCCATCATCACCATACTCTTTTGAGAGAACAGCTGTTCAGATTCATGTAGTCACAGGCTGATAAACCAGAATCCAGAAAATCCAGCTAGAAGCTTTGGAAAGTGTAAATCCAGAAACCCTCAAGATCTCTAATTAAAAGCTGTGTGAATCCTTCAAAAGCGAAAGACCCCAAAAGTCAATTTGATGACTTCATGGAAACTTTTTTTTTTTTTTAAATAGATGTTAGTTGGAGTCCCTGGGATAGAGTCGCTATGAGTCAGAATTGACTCAATGGCAATGGGTTTCTTATGGGTGGTGCAAACTGTTAAGGAGCTTGGTTACTAACAGAAATGTTGGAGGTTCGAGTCCACTCAGAGGAATCTTGGAAGAAAGGCTTTGCAATCTATTTCTGAATAATCAGCCACTGAAAACTCTGGAGCACAGTTCTACTCTGACACACATGGGGTCCTTATGAGTTGAGGTCAACTCCAAGGCAACCAGCTATCGTTGTGTGCCATGGAGTTGATTCTGACTCATAGTGACTTCATAAAGACAGAGCAGAACTACCCCACAGGGTTTCCTAGGCTGTGATCTTTATGGCAGCAGACAGTCAGGTCTTCTCCTGTGAAGTTGCTGGTGGGTTCAAACCACCAACCTCTTGGTTAGCAGCCAAGTGCTTAACCACTGTACTAGTATAAAGCAGTTATAGGCTCTGCCAGACTACAAGGACAGCAGGATCAGTATCAGTCAGGAGTGGAGGGTCTTGGCTTGTTAAAGTTCTATTTTACACTTTCCCCGTCACTTCCCAAGAAGTTCAATGCCTTTAGTGTTCTTTGTTCTGCCAATTTATAGAATTTGCTTCCAAGGTGGAATGAAGAGGATTCAGTACCTGGTCTTGATTATTCTATAAGCTAAAAGATCTATTTCCAGAGTTGCATACTCAAATGCGTATAGGAGTAGTAAGCAGGAACTAGGCGTACATGAGTCAGGAAGCTCTGGTCACTACACAGGCCTGGGGACTGAAGTGCAGGCATATAGACCTAGGGCTGCCAGGTCTTTAGAGGTGTTGAAGAAGATGAACATCCAGATTTTTTCATTTGAAGTCTCCTGGTTTTTAAATGTGGGCTAAAATAAAATTGTTTTTAAGCGTACAACCAAACAAAACACCTGTTAGGTTGTTCAGAGTCTGCAGGTGGCCAATTTGTGTCTGATTGCAGGCATTTGTATCAAACACAATAAGCTCTCAGTAAATTTTAGAGGCTGTTCTTATTACTGCATCTCTAAACCTGATTACTCTAACAGGAATTTTCCAATCGGTCTGTTCATTTTCTAACCAAATTTCCTATGTTCCTAATTAAACAATAAATGCTCACCTCCTGATTTCTGTTGGTCTTCTGATGCACTCTGGAGAAGGTTTTGGAAAGTGTTTTATTTTTACCTCTATTTTTATTTTGGTGTTCTACTTAGAGATAACTCTTATTTGGATTTTGAGGCTACTTTCAAAGTGAGTAAACATACTAATTTATGATTTGGTCACTAGAATAAAGATCTTTGGTTAGAACATGATGTATTTCTAAAATTTATATAGTTTGTAATATGAGTATGCCTCCCTAAAATACTGCAACAGTCCCCATAGTATCCTTACACTATATCACAGTTTTGTTTTATTTTGCATAAAAGGATTAACTTAAATTCAGTCAGTCAATATTGGTAAGTATTTTAAAAATGTTTATAAAGGGAAGTAACCAAACTTAATTTTTCTTGCTTGCCAAATTCACTACATAACCAGCCTTAGGTCTTGAAGTTTACAACACCCTCATTTGCTAAATCCAGTGCTATGGGTAAATGCAGAGGAAAATGCTAGGTAAGTTACAAAGTACTAAACAAATAATATTTTTATATATTCTAGTCGTAACAAATTCAGTGATTCATGTTAGAGAATTTTCAGGAAAGAATTAGAATATATGATCATTATGTTTATCATGATCTAAACAAACATCCTATTTGCTTTTAAATACTTGAGCAAGAAGATAAACTGTTTGGCAAGTAAACCAAAATGAACTAAGACATTCATAAACATAAGTAAGGGAGAGCTTGTCTTCTAACCTGAGAGAATATACTTTTTTTTCTTCTTGCCTTTTGACTCAACTCACTAAGAACAGAAGCATCTATTTGTCCCAATATTGTAAGTGTTTGCCTATATTTAAACTTGTTCCTATATATATTACAAGTCAGATTACAGTGATCATCTATCATATCTAATCAGACATGGTCAAGGTGATCTTCTGAAACTCCACTTGAGAAGAGAAAAAATCTATTACTGATCAAGGCATTCTTAAGAGTTGACGAGAATGAGGATCAACAAAACAGACGATTCCAAAGGAGAATGAAGCAAAAAAGTGGGGGAAAGACTCACACTTGAAGATATACAAGTAATAAAGAAAAGGCCTACTTGTGATTAAAATTACTGTAAGGATGACAGGAGGAAACCATGAGGAACAGAGAATTATGAAATGTTACTGCAAAACTTCAGGCCACACAGTCCTGCCAATCTTTGAAGTGGTAACAATCAGATAACTTAGAGAACGATTCAGGGACAAAGAGAACAAATGAAATCGGCAAAATTTAAGCCAAAGGTTACTAAAGTGTGGCGGCTTGGTCAACATAGCGGACTACTTAGAAGTTTCCTATATCCCGCTTACAACAAAGACCTGGAAAAACAAGTGATTTGATTCTATGTGAACATCTGGCAGCCCTGAACAAGGCAAGGTTAAGAAATCCATCTGAGTCATACCAGAGAGGAAGACCGTTTGGAAGAGGTGAGGAGCACTAGAGCCATGGCGGCGACACAGCAGAGACACAGCCACGTCCGGTGTGGTGAAGCAGGCAAACAGCTGTGCTGCGTGCGTGCTAGAGAAGCAGTTTCCACATCGTGAGAGACCCGGCAGCAGAGATTCTGCTTGGACACTCCGAACCAGTGAAGAGCAGATCCCAAGAGGCTAGGATAAGTACGTGCGCGCACCCATTTGCAGAGAGTTAAAAAAAAAAAAAAAAGCCCATTTGGGAAAAACCTCTCTCCCTTTTACCTCCTACCTTTGTGCTCTGTACTGGATTTGGGAAAAACCTCTCTTCCTTTTACCGCTTCCCTCCCCGCTCTGCACTGGGAGTCCACTGGGCCGGAAATAGATCCCAAAAGGC